CCAAGATGAGTACAAACTGTCGTCTTGTGGGAACTAAGATTTCTCTATTTATTGTCTATAACTAGTTATTAACAATTGAAAAGGCCCCTAAAAAAACTAAATTAAAGCAGTATCATTAAATTTATCTCATTACAAGTTATCTGTGTCTTCTATAAATATTTTCTCTTTCTTCGCTCATCTTTTAATCAATTAATTAAACTTGAAAAGTTAGTTCAAAACAACTGTGAGTTAAGCAAACCAGTAAATACTTATGCTCTTAAACTACAACAATAGTAGCGAAAAGAAAGCAATATACATGTCTAATAATTTTTTAATAAATTAATAAAATATTTGATATTTCAACAATATGATGTTATTCAACGAATTTTACTATATCAATAACATATCAATATCATTTTATGTACAACGATCACAAAATTACTATCTTAAAATTGTAACAGTTAAGGTAATTCAATATCAATATTTTTTTTCATTTACGCACGGGTACCTTAGCATTCCCTCGCTAGTATCATAAAGGGGAGACTTCATCATAGTCTGTCATGCACATACAAAAAGTCAATGTAGACATCATTTATGTGCTTTCATTTCAATAAACTATATATATATATATATATATATATATATATATATAGCTTTCACTAAAGCATGATAGTAAGTAGCTACAAACATTTATAATAATATGACCAATATAGAAAAGAATAGATAAATCAAAATAAAGCTTATAAAAATATCATTAATTATTAATGAAAAATAATTTAGAAGAACCCAAATGTTATTATAGATTAAAAGTATGAATACTCACTTGATGACGATTAATTTGTTATTTGATTTGCATTGATGTCGACTCTTCCAAAATTGATGCCTATAGTTTGCCTTAATGTGGACTCTTCTAAAGAAGCGAACATATAAATCAAAATGGAGTATACAAGTGTTTACCTTGATTAGATTAATTTGCCACATGATTTGCTTTGACATCGACTCTTCTAAAACGTATTCTTATAATAAACAAGGGTATTCATATTACAAAACTTTAATTAATTATCATTTTAATTAGCTATTAAATTTACATTATCTAATTATTAAACATTTATTATTTTACTTTACCAAATCCTGAGTAACTTTGTTTTGCTATTGATTAGTTAAACTATAATATAAACGAAAACTCTTCTGACCGAAGTCAACTCGAGTCAATCTTCCTCTAATTCGCACACTTTGCCTCCTTTTATTCCCTTCCAAATATAAATTTCTAACCAAAAGTCCTAAATAATAAAATTTTCTATTAATATTACAATATATATATATATATATTTATATATATATATTCAACTAAATAAATTATTAATTTTACGTTTTTATAAACTTGGTCGAGCTAAATCATGCTCGCAAACCCCTTTATTAAATCAACAAAATTATTAAGCTTTTTCACCCTTAAAGTCTCGGTCGAGCTCTAACCCGCAAACAAGTGGCTCGCTTCTCCTTCTCCTCTGCACTTGAGAGCTCTGACTTTGGCTTCTTTCGCACGAGCTCTGACTTTGGCTCCTTTCGCACGAGCTCTTGATCTAGAAGCCTCCTTCCTCCTCTACGCTCAAGCCTCCCACATTGCCGCTCTACGATCATGGAGAATCAGTCCCGCCCCTGTCGCCCCTCCTACTCGTCTTTTTGTACATTAAAGTGTCCTTTTGTGTTCCCAACCCTTCATGTCCCCCCATTCAGTTCGTGACTTCTCGCTTAAGTTCCCTCAGGTATACAAAACGAGATATCACATCAACATCAAGCAATACTCCATTTCACTTAGCCAAGCTGTGCCAAAAATTCTATCAAATTACTTAGTCAATCTCCCTAAGGAATTCTCCATGATCCTTAAGCCCTACCTCACCTCTTCCACTAATTTCTCCAAGCCGCACCAGGACAAACTCGGTTGCTCATTCAAACTCACCAAAATTCCAAATTTACTTAACAAATAAGTCACCATACCTCAAAACTTATTCCCCAACCATTTTTGCTCTGTATTAAGCCCTCCAACCCTATCCAAGACCAACCGTAGACCCTTTTGGTCAAGAATGTACAAGGAGTCAATGAGAGTTCAAATTAACTCAAAGAAAAGCTTCATCATGTCAAGGCAACCCTCTCCAATCAACCCAATCTAGGACAAACGTCTTCGCTCTTCATAAGGGCCCTCAGTTTTACTCATTTTTTGAACGAAATTGTAAATCCATCCAAATCTAGTCGTAGGATCCTAACCATAGGCCTGTAAAGATCCTTTCGAACAGTATTGATCTTAGGTTCGTGCATTGGATTGCTTGTATCAAGTGTCTTCTCATGAATGGCTCGCATTACTCGTTCCCGTGGAGACAATGAATGGTTGGAACCGCTGACAAAGATTAAATCACACGGGAGAACGCAGAGAAGACCAACGAACCAGATTTAGTGCCAAAGAGGCATGGGCAGTGAATCGCAGAGCAACACGTAGAAGTTAGCGAAGGTCGAGAATGAGCTGGCAGCTAAGTCAGCACGCAGTTTAAGTAGGAACTTATTTTTTTTTATTTAAACAAATACTATGAAAATAAAACAAAATTTTAAAATGCATAACTAATTAAATAAAACTGAAAAAATATAAAATAAAATCATATCAATTAATTTAAACAAGGAGAAATAAATAAAAAAATAAAACCAAGGTACATTAACTCAAAAGTAACTATTAAAATAACTAAAACCATTAAACAATCAAAAAATCATTAAAAATTAAGATTAAATCAAAAGTAGGAGAGATTTGGAATGATTAAAACCTCTAAACATAAGGAACTCCCATATTTTTTCTAAGGTCAAAGACCAACATTTAAAAAGTTTAATTTCTTTTTAAATTGGTAATTAATTTGAAAAACAAATACAACAAAAAGTAAAAAAATCAGAAAAAATACGAAATCACTTGAATTTTAATATTTTAAAATAAATAACTAAATAAATATCATAATTCATAAAAATTTTGAATAAAGTCAAAGCGATATGAAAATTTTAACGATTTTTTAGAATAGAATTCCGAGCACCTCTATAAAATTTCATAAGTCTTGGAAGTTGTTTGAATTTATTAGGAATTTAATATTAAAAGACAATCGTATTAAAAAATCAGATAAAAATTAAAAGGCAATCCTATTAAAATAAAATAATAAAAATCAAATAAAATTTAAAAAGGCACTCCTATTAACAAAATCAAATAAGAAAAATTAAAAATCAAATAAAATAAAAATTAACAAAACTCATAAAATCTGAAAGATCGTAAAACTTAAAGTGAACCTCTAACAAACAAACAAATAAAATTCACAACTTCAACAAATAATCCACCCTAGATCTATAAAAATCTTATGAACGAAGTAATCCACGGTTGCTGACAAAATCGTTTGAAAGTCAAGGTCTCAAGATAAAAAAAAAAAGTAAACTTACATGTTAATCGAAACAATTCTCATAATTGCACTTATAAATAACGCGCATTTTTATATATAAAATCCATCTAAATCCCATTTCCAAAATCTTCCCGTGGCCATTTTATTTTCTTAAACCGTGAAGAAGAAAAAAAAAGAGAGAGAAAGAGAGGGACAGAGAAAACGAAGGGTTATTGGAGGCCACGTCTCGATTTTCATGCAACGGGTCTGTTCGAAAAATTGACTCAATTAAGGTAGGCTACCGTTAACCTACCACTGATTTTAATGTTTTTATTTTTTGTGTGTTTTTCAAACCTTTAGTTGCCTAAAGCTTTAAAATTTGATGATATCCCCGTATTTTGGAAACTTTTACTGTGTAACTTTTAATATATTATTTATTCTAACTACTCTACACATTTTGGCATATGTATATGAATTTTCATGGGGTATTTCATTTGTTTGAATCAAAAGTGCTAATTTGAGTTATACAAAATTTCATAAAAATGTAATTAAAATTATATGTATTATGAAATACTTACATTAAAATGACTACATATAACTTAATATGCAATTTCTATTTTGATTGATGCATATAAATTGATAATTTATTGCATACTGTGGATTTCCCTATTTTATTTTACATGTATATTTTACATATACACTGTAATGCTGAGTACATCATAACCATTTGGAAAAATATGATACTGCGAAATGTTTATGGAAGAAAGGTTTGCTACTATGATTCAGGTTGAAGGACATATGATACCCTGGGCAGCAAAGTAGGCCGATGGGCTTTCCTTTACATGGGTTAGTGGTGTAAACCTGATATATGTAGCGAGCGAATATTATATGATGTACGTAGATGGGCTGGGGGTGACGAATCTCATGTACTGTGTCATTTGACTAACTATTTTGATAGTTTTACTGACATGATATGATTAGTACATTTTCATATCTTACTTCATGTTCGACACTTGACCTATGAAGTTGGCCATCAGTACTTTCTGATTCATCTTCAAGCATGTTAATCTGTATTGGCACAATTTATTATTTAAATGCAATTTCTCAGATAATAATGTGTTATACATACATGATACCTTAAGTCGTATAGAATGCCCGCCACAAATTTATCAAACTATAGTTTTGTATAAATCAATTCATATTTGATCTCATTCTTACTTTTTCAAAATTCAACATGTTTCCATTATTCTTTTCATCTAATAACCCTGCTATGATATCACTTTCTATCACACCACAACTAACCACCATGGTAGGGTCAATCGTGGTGTGAAAGATACTGGCAATTTTATCAACCAACTGTCACAAGCAATCGTCCTAACTTTTATAATCATGACCCAGTAGATAATGAATCAGTCTAACTAAATTGTCATAATATACATGATACATTATATTTCATAATTCATTTATATTCTTCTTCAGAAGCATGTAATATCATAACATCAAAACATATAAACTATACAGAGTTTTTAAATCCAACGTAATGAATGTACGTACCCAAAATATATATATAAACTCTCAAAAGTATCATGCAAAACCTGTACAAACATACATCTGGCTACTCACCTCGGTATCCGTTGCCCCTACCTAAAAAACAACAATGAAGAATGAGCACAACGAGCTCAGAGAAATTTTCAGAGCTAAAATAAATTGAAAAAAAAAACATATATGCTCGTAGAAAAATAACATGTCTATATACACAAGTAAAAACATATTAGCATGGTAGAGAACATGAAAAAAGAGCAGAAAGTATAAAAATCAAGACTACAGTGTAACATGTAAGTCGTAAGCATAAAAACATAAGTATAATCTAAAGCATGTTCATAAACTGTTTATTGTATATAATCATAGCAATGTCATTTCAGAAAAGTCATTCATGGTAATGTGACTTGTTTAATGTATAAGATTCAACTATTTTCCTGTTCTTTTATAATGAATCATCACTCTGCCCCAAAGACAATATAAACTGTCGATAAAGGTTAGGCTTCCCAGACATAACATTTATCAATAGCCCCTTTGATTCTCACTATTCTCTAACGTTTTTTCACTGGCTAATTCTAATGGTTCCCAGAGTTTTGTCTCTGTATAAATATTAGGGATCAGGAATACTACATCCCTGCATGATGTACTTGCAAACAATCATGTAATAGTTTATCAATGCATTCATTGTGACATTTGAATTATCATTTCTATATCAAACATTTATAAGGCATTGCAAATATCATAGGCATGAGGTAAGAATCATAATAAATGAATACATGCATGGAATTAATATCATTATCATAGTCATATGTAGCATAGCATGATCATAGCATTACATGTATTTTAAGAAAAGTAAAGATACATTCATACATTCAATTGCAGGTGTCCCTTTAGAATATACAGAAATTCTAAATGCATCTATATCAAAATAAAAATCATATGAAAACCTATAAAAGATTTTTTTTCTTAAATTAACACAATTATTTCATCTGACGTGACCGAACAACCTTATGACAAGTGCCCATATGCTTGCCTCGAACTCGTTGCCTCGTATAGGCAACCTGGGGTTCGTAGACAAGATAAGATTTCATAAAATTTGACTCATAATATGCATAAAACCAAAAATGTACTTTAATTGCCAAAACATACCTCAGAAGGGCATTACGACATATATTTGCTTTTCCAAAATCACAAATTTTCTCCCCAACTCTTTCTAACACCTTAATCTCACTTTCCCCTTGCTGATTTCATGATAAAACTCATATGAAAGCTTTCAAATCACTTTTGACGCATCCAACGCTAGTCCGGTGCCTTCAACGGCTATCAGAAAAGAAAAATATATGAAAAATGAGGCAAACTTCAATACAAAAGTGTGGGGGAAGAAAATAAAAGTCTCAAATAACGTGAAAAAGGGGTTCATGCTTTCAAAAATTGCCATGGAACCCTAGATCGTGCTCTGCGACTCCTAGGTTGTGGTTCGCCCTTTACTGCTTGAGACCTGCTACAGTGCCCAAACTGAACCTTCACGGGATTCAACTGTTGAGCTACCAAAGTGAAGGAGAGGAGAATTCAGGAGAGAGGGAAAGAATGCAAATGCTCTTGAGCCCTATTCGACCAAAACCAGCAAATAACAGGGTGTGAGAGTCGATGGCTACAGTGCACATGCGGGATATTAGGGAAAAATTAGAATAATAATTAAGGTAAATTAATTTAATTAAACTTAAAACTACTAAATTCCATCTCTCTCAATCCGTTAAGAATTCATGCATGATGATTTATTTGGAATTGATTGATTTCATACATAGAATTTTATAAAATTATTTCGATTGAATTATGGGAGATGAAAATTTTGGGTACTTTTAATATTTGTCCAATTTTATGTGTTTCTTGAAATTTGGGTTTTACACTCTGAGTTTGAAACATGCATCATCAAAGCCATTACTGATTTTTTTTTAAGGATACTTAGCAATCTTAGTGGTCAAAAAAGCAAGGAGAAGAACACTGATGCTTCAGATATTCAATTTCCATGTTTTCATATTGAGATAAGCTACAAAGCAAGATTGAAACTAGAATGGGCATACTTACCAGTTCAAAGTTCTCATTCATTATTGAGGAAACCCAAAGAAAAGTCATCAATGAGTGTATGTTGCACCAAGGATGCATACGTCCCAAAAAAGTCAATTGATTGTGCGGCAAACGAAATTTGAAAATTTTTAGATCAACAAAGTTTTCTTTAAATAAAAAAAAAAAATTTCTGAAGGGAATGAAGGAATGCATCTATAAACAGCTTCAAATTCATTGACCACTGACAAAGAAAAGGCTAGATATTGCATTGTGTATCAAACATTTGATTTACATATTTAATACGAAAATTTGCAGACCAATTAAAAACCAGAAATTCAAATCGCAGAATGATGAAAAAATGTAGAATAAAATGACTCACATGGCAAATGGGGCCTTGTGAAGAAATAACAGACTGCATCTCAGATCGATCTGAAACATAGCCTAATCGCAAATAAGGTAGCATATCGGAAATTGCTTCTTTCTCTCTTCCTACATATACCTAAGAAGAAGAAGGCCACGTTTTATGGTTGCGATATTTGTGTAAAAAAAATAAACAAATCACAACACTAGCATACATGAAAAACTTGGGCAGATAGCCTTCCATTTCTCTGTGCAACTAATCGTTTTTCCTGGTATTGAGGATCTTCTGTGTTTAGGGAAGCCTACATGGGAATAAAAGTTAAAAGAAATGTCAACTTAGAAGAAGCCTTTGAATTATAAGAATTGCACCCAAAAAAAAAACATTATATTTCAGCACCATGACTCTACCTCACCTCAATTACTAGCCGATCATATGGATTATCTTCATCAACAAAACCATAATTCAAGAGCAGCCTTGAATTAGGCTGTGGGCCACACCTAGATACAAGAGGTTTCAGTATGTAAATTGAATGAGACGCTGCATGCATGCATATGAAGGTAGGCTAAGCACATCTACAGAAATATGCATACAGAAGATGGGCCAAAGTTTATGTTAGTAACAGTAAAAATACTACCATACAACAATTGCTTCGCCAGCTTTATAAGGACGATCAACAACCAGCTGAACAAAATCTTGATCAACTTTTAGCATAGCCTTGCAGTTGCTCTTGTAAGACAATAGTGGTGGCCCCAATGGAACCAATGCAAACCTTCGAGCCAAACTGACATTCTGCTCCATACATATAATGATACTAGAATCGTTAGTCAACCATATACAAAGACATCACTAGTGATTATGTTTCCACTAAAAATAATCTGGATTGAATATTTATTTTTCATGCTTAAAAAAGCAATCCTTTCTAGACAAAAATTATAGATGCTTTAAATAAATCAATGCTTATTTATGTAAGACCATGTATGAGCTGAGATGTACAAGATACACAATATTAGATGAACATGTTGTGCATTAGATGAACGAATTGATGCAACAAGATATTAAAATTGAAAGGAGTGGGAAACATCAAGTAGGCCTTCACATGAAATGGAGCATTTAAACCTTTGAATCAGTGTTACCAAAGCTACTAAGCAGCCTCCGGCTCAGACGGTAGCCTTAAAACAAAACTAATGTATCCCTAAACAATTAATTTTACTAAAGGGATCTTTTTTTAAGAATACACTAAACCAAGCAAGAAAAACTAATGAATTTTAAAAGTTTGATGCGCTTTCAAAAATCTCTTCAAATATATTATCTTAAGAAAATATAATTAAAATACTAAAAGCTTATGGTATAAATTACCTAAAATAAACTAATTTTTCATACCATTTATTAGATTTTCAACATAATGCATGTGCTCTTCTCCATCACTCCTACAGAGTTAATACTCTATAATTTGAAGTTGTCGTACCTTGTTCGTCTCTGAATGCATCTTCGCTAATTCCACTGCATCATTGTTCTTCCAATTGCTAAAGATATCTACTTGAGTCTTATCTGTAGTCAAATGAATTTACTCTCTCTAATGGCCAATGAACCCTGATATTCCTGAATAGTCAGAGCAAGCTAAAAGAGAGGCATGCCTCCTCTGTCGAATTCTTATCTTCATTTGGGCTCAAGCACATGAAATGTGAGTCTAAACAAAATAGAACATGTAAAAGCCTTTTGAGGTAAGTTTTGGGCAAGTATGTTATAATTGGGGTTGAATTAATGTTTAAGCTAGAAATCCATGAAAATTTTAAGAGATTTACGAGTTTCAGGTTGTTCATACTAAGCGGCGAGCTCGATGAGCTTTGTAAAACTTGTCGTAGGGTTGTTCAATCAATTCTGATGAAATAACCATGTGAATTAGGAATAATAACTTTCTATAGTATTTTCTAGATGACTTTCTTGTTATAAAGTTGCATTCATGTTTGTTTGTAGGTATTCATATCATTTTAATTATGCATATCATTATGAATTATTTATGATTGTTTATTATATGAATTATGATTATAGAAATGTCTCAAGTTAAACTACATAAAAATAGTTAAAATCTATATAGCTACAAGTGACATTCTTATGAATATGATTATTGACTATGAAATCCTTCTAAAAATGCTTATAATTGTTTGTGAATGGACAAAATACATGTTTTACATAGATGACATTATTTGATACAGTACATGTCTCTTTATTTAAATGTTTAGCATGATTAACACTTGTTGTGATACGTTCCACTGACACATACATAAGCCATGATTTTCATGCAAGTTGTTTCTTTCATGCCTAAATTTTTTTTTTTTTGCTTTAGTATTTCGTTTGCTTGTTGTAACTCACTCTACGTTGTTCACTTTCAAAAAGAGATAAGGAACATTGGGACGAGCACCTAAGTGTAAAGTGTATAGCTTTTGCATTATATAATTTTGGCAGCTTGTGTAGACTTTTGGGTACGAACTTCGATTATATTAGATTTAGCGGCTTTGTAGAGATATATACGTTTTGGTGATATGGATTTTTATGTTTCCAAATATATAAATATGAATGAATTATAAAATTAATTATATTACGAGTGTTAAGGTGATTCTATTCAAACTAGCTCATCACTCATTGGGTCTTGATCATGCAAGTCAAGATGGGGTGTGACAAATTATAGAATTTAGTCTAGTCGAATCGCCCGCCTCTGTCGTACCGCGTTTGCCCTAAAGAGGGTTTAGTTGGCGTGTGACAAATTAATAGAAAATAAATAACATAAAACTAATTCCTAAGAGTTAACTCAATGATACAAAACAAATCAATAATTTTGAATTATTTTTAAATTTATCAACATTTAAGAGGATTTCTTAATTTTTTTCAATACATCTACTCTTCTTATACGTGATAGGGTTGGTGTAGCTCCAGTGACGGACAAAATTAGAGAAAGTCGTCTTAGTTGGTTCGGTCACATTAAATGTCGACTGTTTGATGATCCGATTTGGAGAGGAGATGTTTTAGATTCAACTTATATTAAGAAAGCAACTTATATTAAGAAAGACAACTTATATTAAGAAAGACAAAGGTAGATCTAGGAAGACTTGGGCTTATTGTTTAAAAAATGATATTAATTTATTATAACAAAAGAAAATATGACACTAAATAGGACGTAATAAAGAAAAAAGATTCATTTAGCCGACCCCACGTAGTGGGATTAAGGCTTTGTTATTGTTGTTGTCGTCGTCATGGTCTTAATTTTTTTTTGAATTTTAAAAAGGTTTAATCGTCCTTTTGAATTGTTGTTTAAACTGTAAAAACCATATAAGATTAGATTTGGAACATTATTTCAAAATATTTGGTATTATCTTTGTAATTTATTCTATTAGCAAGGATTCATGGCTTGTACTTGGATTATTAACTGATTAGTGATTCAATGAATGAAATTATTACTCTCAAGTTATGTGGATCACTCCAAATCATGTATGTGGAGTTCCTTACTTATCTCTTCCCTTCTGTATTAATTCATTAACCAAGTCAAGTTCAATAATGTTTTCTCTTTGATTTCCATGGCTAAATTCCCCACACTGATCATCCCATAAACTATGATTCAAAACCTTCCTACAGCAATCCCTTTCCTAAATCAAAGCCTCATTCCTATAAAACCTAATTCTAATCAAAACCCTACTCCCTCTATTTCGCATGAGCTCACCCCAATACCACTATTTCCGAATGTGTCCACCCTTTCCACAAGATAACCCCATACAGTTCTGTATAGTAAAAAGAGAATCAAATATCATGCAAATGCATTCTATGCTTCCATCAACTCTTTTCAAGGTAAACTCACATTTCGTGTCTAATTTTTCATGATTAGTTAAGTTTTGGCAATCTCAAGTATTATCATGCAACACCATTCTAAAGACTGTTTTATTCATAGAAAAAACTGCAATATTTACTCGGATGAACTTGTAAAGAATATCCTTGCAGTCCATCAGATCCCCTTTACTTGGCCAACAATGTCCTAAGGCTTTAGATAGATTACCTTGTGTGACTCTAATGGCAGCATAACAAACTAACAATAACAGTTAATATACAACAAACTTATTCCCATTAGATGTAACTGTAGATCAAAACATCAAGCATTTTAGCTCATCCAAATAATGGATTCCACATGACATTAAAAGACAAAAATTACCTGAAGGTGGACAACACATGACTGAACTGCCACAAAAGCCTGCTTGAAGATTTCATATGGAAAAGCTTCAGTCGGTATATCGAAAGGATATTGCTGCACAGTATGATAGACTATGTGAATAAAAAGAGTACACCTAGTAAAACTAATCTAACAAACTCAAAGTAATTTGGCAACAAACAAACATATGCGAGAGAATGACCTTAAACAAAGAACCAGCCATGAACCAGACTGTGTCAAGCTCATTGTACTCTCTCTTTATCCCTTCCTCCCTCCCAAGGACTTCAGCCTAATAAAAAAAGACAAATAAAAACAGTTCATCTGTAGAATGAATAGAAAGTCAAAATGTTATCCTGAAAATGCACTATGCATATTTTCAAGCATTACCCTTGTAGGACTCCCATCAAGATAAGTGAGTTGATCTTCTGACCACAAAAGTGGAGACTCCACAGCTAGTTGGCCTCTGCCTCTCTGGCGGTCAAGTTCTTGAATGAAAGGATACCAGAAAGATTTCTTCCCTTGTTTTTTCTCATACATGAGATACAGAGCCAAGCACGCCAATTCAGAAAGCTTGTTTGTCGTTAAAAGCTCAGCTGTAGATACCAAGTTATTTTACAAAGTTAAATAACTTAAATTAAATTCTAGTACATTACAACAACAACAACAACAAGCCTTTATCACACTAAGTGGGGTAGGCTACATGAATCCTTTCTCTCCATTGTGTCCTATTGAGTGTCATATTTTCATTTAATTCCAATAGATTAAGATTAAGCATTGCATTAAAAGAAATAAAATCATTTCATTTCATAATTTATCATATCCTGTGACTCAACAAGGCAAGCAAAAATGTAAAGCACATATGATTCCTAGTCATGTAAATTTATCTTTGCACCAAGCTGATGCCTTTCAAGATTTTCCAATGGAAAACATGCTCAATTAACTATCATATGATTTTGTGTTCAAAAAAAAAAAAGACAAGAGAACTGAAACCTTAACCACCACAAGAAATTGCATGCTATCCATTCTTGTCATTTTGAACAGCACGTGTCAAGAATGTCACAACCTGGTCTGAAAACTTAGAATTAGCTAAGTCGGGAACTACGGTGGAATAGTATTAACAATATATTTAGTTTCCACAGATTTTCATGACTTTCAATATATAAAAGAGTCACTAAGAAATCAAAAAATATACTAGATAGAAATCAAAACATCTAAAAATAATAACATAATTTGCAGACAAACTCTCCTTCAACATTTATCTCACTATTCAGAAAAAAATAGTACAAAAAGACTACAATCACATCACAATATAATACCTATAACTTATAGTCCTCCTGTAAACTAAATCCTTCATGTTAAACAATATCAATCCATAGTTTTTCTTGAATGAAACAATTAAATTCAACAAGTAAATTTTCACAACTTAGTGAATTATTACAATCTCATAAATTAAATTATATGTAAATGTATGCATGAATAACCAAAATTATAAGCTTTTATTTTAAATTTATCATTCTCGTTTCAATTTAAGTATTTAACCTTTGAACCTCATTAAGAAAATATAACAGGATTATCCTCATACCGAAAAGTATCCTCAATGTTGTACTTGTAGGTAACCTAAAAAATTTGTAAGCAAATGAACGCATTAATCATTTTCAAATCTTTTTTCACGCAGGGGTATGTTGCATTCCTTGTTACTACCATATGGGGTAATCCCGATTAACTTAAATATTAACATTTCATTTCTTTTAACTACTTCTATTTAAGGTCATTGAAACCACTATTTTCTATTTTTCATTTTCACTTCATACATTTTAGTAATTCTTTAATTTACAAAAGGTTTTTGATTATAAAAGAAGATATGAAACAATAATGCAGTTCTTTATTTAATAATACCTTAATTTAATACATAAAATAAAATAATTACTCTCATTTGTCTTAAAAGACCTTGGTAATAGCTTATTAATTCACTACCTTGACTAGCACTTATATCAATTAAAGGTGCATATAATTATAAGAATCTCATCCTAAAAGAAAAGAATTAAATATAAATAATTTATTTAAATAGTTTTTTTTTTTTTAAATACCTTTTAAAAAAAAATTCTTCCAAATATTACCATTAATTCTACTCATGAAAACTTGGAATCTATCTAATGAAAAATAATTAAGAAAAAACACAAGGTTTCTCTTTCCCCCTTACTCTTAATACCTCCTGATTTCAAACACACCTACTATTAACACTTAAATAATAAACTTATATATATATATATATATATATATAATATGCATGTGTGTGTGTAATTAATTAATTAATTTTTTATAAAAAGCCTAACTTACCTAAACTAATCCCTCGATAGCCGCTAAGCTCAAACGAGAGCTCTGTCCCACACACGAGGCTCGGCTCCCTTTCTTCTTCCTTCCCAAGGCTCGACTTCAACACCAACACTATAAGCCGCCTCCTCCCTTCCTTTGCACGACTCAGGCACAGTGTCGAATCTCATGGAAGAGAAGAAACACGCGACTTCTCTTATTCTTCCTCTTCTACTTCTTCTTTTTCCTTCATCTCCTTCACTATCGTTGTTTCCTTCTCCTTCCTCCCTTCTTCCTACACACAAAGACAAGTCGCTCAGCTCATGGATGTCGGTTATGGTTCGGCATGACACGCTTTCCATATCTCGACAATGGTGTCAGATGCTAAGCTCCTCAACAAAGCCACGAGTTAAGGCAGAAAATGAGCCTACCTCCTTTCTTCCTTGTCTTCTGCGGCTTCGTCTCTTCTCCCGCTATGGTTAAACATGCAATTCCTCCTCCTCTTTCTACTCTTGCTCTCTATCTCCCATTCTACCTTTTTCATTCTCTGAATACGAATGAAAGAAGTCCCCTTTCAATTCTAATAATCAAACCGCTCCACAGTTATACATCGAAGAGATATTTTTTAACAAATATTATAATCTCCCCTCATAAAATTCTTGTCCTTGAAATTTGAAAAGCTTAATATAAAAGTAACATATCTTAACAGAAGAGTTGGTGATGCTTTCTTATCTGAAGATTTCTCCCAAGTAGCATCCCACTCTAATCCGTGCTTCCATAAAATCTTAACAAATGAAGTCTCCATATTACAAAAGCTTCTTCACAACATATTCCAATATCCTTTCAAGCTTTTCAATATAAGTCAAATGAGACTGAACATTAACTAACGTTCGTTATAACCATACTTGATTCATTTACAATATACTTTTAAAGTGAAGAAATGTGGAAAACATTATGTGCTCCTTGCATATGAGCTAGGAAAGTCAATTAGTAAGCCAAATTTTCAATCCTCTCCGCAATCTTATATGGACCTACATACGTTGGTCTCAGTTTTCTTATCTTCCAAAACATTGCACACAATTTAATGGACAGACTTTAATAAAGAAAAACTCCAACTTCAAACTCCATTGGTTTGTGCTTAGCATCATAATCTTTCCTCTACCTATCATGCATTGTCTTTAGTCTGTCTCTAATCAGTCTGATCTTTTCAGTAATATCATCAACCAAGGCAACTCCAATGATCCTTCATTCACCTGTTTCAACCAAACATAAAAGTATCCTACATTGTCTTCCATACAAAGATTCATATAGAGTCATCCAAATACTAGCCTGATAAATATTATTGTAAGCAGATTCTAAAAAAAGTTTATGTGATTTTCATCCTCCACCAAAGTCAAGAACACATAATCTTAGTAGATCCTCTAAGGCCTAAATAGTTCTTTCTAACTAGTCATCTGTCTGAAAGTGAAAGATTGTACTAAAAGTTAATCTGGTGCATAAAGATTCTTGAATCTTCTTCCATAATACGGAAGTAAATCTGTCACATTGTCGGAGACAAAAGACTTTAGAACTCTATATAATATCACAATTTAATCCACATATAATTTGGTTAATCTCTCAACTGGATATGTTTGTCTAATGAGCAAGAAATGTGCAGATTTAGTCAAACTGTCAAAAATTACTCAAATAGCATCATGACTCTATCGTGACCAATACAATCCAATCATAAAGTACATAGCAATTACCTCTCATTTTCACTCTGAAATTGCTAAAGATTGCAACTGACCTCAGTTCTGACAACTAGCTAACAGTAGAACACTTGGCAATAAATTTTGCCACTCTTCAATCCTCGCCACTAAAATATTTCCTTGAGATCCTGATACATTTTATTACTCCTTCGATGAATAGTATAGCAGACAAATATGATTCAAGAATTTCTCTCAAATTACAATCTAGAACATAAACCCAGATTTTGTATTTCAATAAGCCATCATGATCTAATAGATACTTCAATAAACTGTCTGTCTCATGATTATTTGAACACTACAATCTCTGGCTAATGAATCCTTGATTTTGTCTTTCAAAGTGGACTGCATAGTCCACTAATTTAATTGAATCATACTGTCAATAATTAATTACAAATAGTTTCAACTTTTCCAAATCTTTAAATAATTACTTCTGTTGAGTAAATAAACAACTCGAATTACCTGAATCCTTCTTACTCAATGCAAATACCACACATTTGTCTTTCTTGAATCGTACTGAATATTTAATTCATAATCTTTAATAAACTTGAATCATCTTCCATGCCTAAGATTTCATTCTTTCTAGGTGAATATATACATTAAACTCTGATGATCTATAAATATCTCACATCAGACTCCATACAGATAATGCCCCCATATCTTAGGTGTAAACATAACTACTGCAAGTTCCAAATTATGTAGGATAACCATAGGCAATGACCTTTCCATGTTGCATAAGTATACAGCCCAAATCCTTCAAAATATGTATCATTAAAAATCTAAACTCATCTGATCATGAAGGAATAGCCAACACTGGAGCAATCATCAAGTAAGACTTCAATTTCCAAAAAGCCACTTCACAACAATCAGTCCAATCAAACTTCACTGTATTTTGAGTCAATCAAGATAATGGCACAGCAATATGTGCAAACCTCTCAACAAATCTCTACAAATCTCCTGTAATAATAAGTTAAACCTAAAAAAATTCCTTATCTCAATAACAGTGGTAGGACTTGGCCTATCCCTGATCTTATTATGATCCATAGATAGGTCATCTTCACTTATAATACGTCCAGAAAAAAAAACCACTCTTTTAAGCCAAAATTCACATTTAAAAAATCTGGCATACAACATGTTTTCCTTCAACCTCATAGAATAGCATGCAGATGATTTGTATAACTGGCTTATACACCAGGATATCATATATGAATACAATCACAATTGTACCCAAAACTTTCTAAAAAACTTGTTCATCAAATTCATAAAAACTGTTGGAGTATTAGTCAGCCCAAATGACATCAACCCAAAATTAAGCTTGAAAGCTATCTTCGCTATGTCTTCCTCTTTAATCCTCAACTAGTGATAGTATGACCTTGGATCAATATTTAAAAATACAATAAATGACATGACATGAATTATATTATGATTAAAGGTACACATGTTAAGTTTTTAAATGTGCACATAGTTGTGATAACTTCAGAGGAGTCCTTAGCTTCCTACGGTAAAAATGATAAACCCTGGGTTGGATATTCTGTTAG